AAACAGGTGGTGAAAGTGGGTGTCCATGGTGTCCATAGAACTTCGAATGTTCGGTAGACGTCGGCACTGTTACACCCACCAGTGGTAGTGCACCAGCCCCCAAATCAACCCACAAGAACGCTTGTCGGGAGTCTTAGCGAAGAGTGAAAGGAAGAGATTGGCCTAAGAAAAGATGTTTGTTGAAGGCTGTCGAACTAGAATTCTTCCCGAACTCTAGGAACATGGAAAGTGGTTTGATTTCATTTAGTATTTAGACAATCCTACATCCCAACCCCATTTCACGTGCTCCAAGTGTTCTTAGGAGGCGATGCATGCGACATTTCACCAACCGCCATGCCGAACTGGTTCCGTGTGGCACATCCATTCCACCGGTTTCCAGCCACGTCCTGGTTCACCCAGTGGGGGTCCGGTTCACTTGGTTCCTCCGTGGCTTTTCGCCGGTGGACCGATGCCGGGGGGGCCAACGCAATGCCGTTCATCGGGAGGAAGACGTTTGGCAAGCGTTTGGCAAGCTCTAGGGGCTCTTGACCTCCAAAACCGGGGCTAGCGCAGCGAATCCGCGGTACGGACGCCAGGTGATGAGCCATGGGCCATGTTCTTGCTCGGCTGACCGGATCCAGGATGAAGAAGCTGTTCTGGAATTTTTGGCTGCAGATCAAAGCGACCTTGATACGAGGATCATTTTTCAATTGAGGTATGATTATATAAAGCGTCACACTGAGACTACGTTCCTGAATCATGAGAGAGACAGGTCAGTGGAGACGAAGACGGAGCGTCTGATGGTTACGAACACAGCCAACTCCTATCTCAGGCAGACATTTTGATACTCCCCCGCAGACGGGACTGGAACAACACTTGCTTGCACCCCATGCAGGGGCAACTCGTTGGATGCACTTCCCACTACATGAGGAACCTCATGATTCTGGCAGCTACTTTAGGGGACAGGATCAAAAAGAAAGCTCAAAATACTGCAGGAACATAGGGCATTGAAATCCTTCTTCCAATTGATTCTGATCTTAAGTCTGGAGCTCGCGGGAACGTGCCGGGGCCTACATTCCAGTCTTTTTCTGGTTTGAGGTCACTGATATCTCATTCGAAAGGAAACAACCAACCAAATCTAGAATATACTGCAAAGTACTTTCAGTCCCCATGATCCACAACATGAAAGATTCCTGCCAAGCCCCTCGGGGTCTGGGGTTGGGATTCATCCACGTGGTCCGTGGATGAGTCCCCTCGAAACTGCGGTGGTTCCCATGGATTTTCCCATGGATTCTAGTATGACTGGCACCAGAACCCACAGAAAAATCGATTGAACACTTTGATCTGTACTTGTGGGCCCATGAAGAGCCGATTACGCGAGACTGAGAGTTGGTTCTGGGGGTGTATCTCCCAGTGCCTCGAAAAGGCGATTGCGCCAGCGCAGATCTTTAAAAGATTCTGCGAGAAAAGCACGATAACATCACTGGCCGATCACGAGATCTATGTGGATGGGGACAGGATGGGATAGGCTTTCCTCATATCATTCTGTGCTTCCGAAATGTAGGGGGACATCAACCAATCTGGGCTGAGGCTGTACCGAGTTAATACCGAGGCATAACTCACCGAGACTTGCTCTTTCGGCAAATATGTAACAGAAGTTGTTTTTGAAGGTACACAAAAGGCAGAAAACCAAGTGTGAGAGAAAAGGAGGACTTGATGTCCACATTGCCACCCATGTCTTTATGCTCGTGTTCACCCTGTTTCGGGACCGCCGGGATCTCGATCCAGAGCGACTGCTGGAGATCTCGGGTTTGCCGGGCACGGGACCCCAAGGAGTGGATCCACTGCAGGCTTTTGGGAAGGCGTCACGATTTCCTTTGGAAAAGGCCGGTGTTTCGTGCTCAAACAAAGTACCACGAGCTGTGCCCGTTTGCATGCTCCTGGCCAGCGTGACGGGGGGAGGAAGCTGGACAACCATTGAAGCTATAGCAGCTAAGGCCAGTGTGCTTTCAAGGCATTTCAAACAATGCTGAACTTTGCTATGTCGGTTTTTCTCGTTTGTTTGCATTTTGAGTCGTAGAAGCTGAAACGGAGTTTTCGAGGCAACATATACATGTTCCGAAAGGATGAAAACGAGGGAGCCTCCATTTGTGCCTACGAATGGGCCCGTCCCGTCCCGTCTCCAAGGCTTGACGGTACCCATGATGTCACATCACTAAAAAAGGACTATACAGTAAAGACCAGAAATCACCGAGAATTCACAGCTCCTTTTCCTGTTTTCTTTCTTTTCGACGTTTCTATTCATGTTTTTATGATACTTCTGCTTGTCTGCTTCACCGGGACGCTGGTGAGGTCTCCATTCCGATGGATCGGGTTCTGAGAGAACATCCGATGGATCGGTGATGAAGCAATACCGGACGGTAGATGTTAAGGGGGTGGTCAATACTGCATCGACACATCCCACAAGTCTAGAGTGGACACACCAAGAATCATACAGTGTTAGTTCCCCAAACAGTGTGGGCACACTGAGGGGTTCTTACGGTAGGTGAAAAGCAGGTTTGCTTAGATCGCTGTTCCGCGCGGCCGTGTCCGGCTAATTCGCTGCTATTACAGTACATTCATGCCTCTCAACATCATCAATGCGCATTTCGACTGCGCAGGCTCACAAAGTCTGGGTGGCCGCGGCGGATGCTTCTAGCGACTGCACTCTCGTTGTGGTGCCGCGTGCATTTTCGCACATGGCGGTGACTTTTCGTGGCAGGGGCAAGGGAAACCTCGTGTTTTGGTGCTCCAAAGTCGACTTTACGTGACAGGTGCAAGGGATCGGAGCTGTTTTACTACGAAATGCAGTTTTCGTGGCAGGCGCAGCACTTTGGACTTTGGTGGTGATCGTCGAGGAGCTCAGATTTTGTGACAGGTGCAGTGGATCGTGACTTTTGGACATGTGGGTCGTTTGCAGATTTCGTGGCAGGCACAGGACTTGGTGAACCTCGAAGTGCAGATTTCGTGGCAGGCACAGCACTTGGTGAACCTCGAAGTGCAGATTTCGTGGCAGGCGCAGCACTTGGTGAACCTCGGAGTGCAGATTTCGTGGCAGGCGCAGCACTGGGTGAACCTCGAAGCGACTTGGTGAACCTCGTGGCAGGCGCAGCACTTGGTGAGCCTCGAAGTGCAGAGTTCGTGGCAGGCACAGCGCTTGGAGAACCTCGACGTGCAAAGTTCGTGGCAGGCGCACTTGGTGAACCTCGACGTGGAGATTTCGTGGCAGGTACAGCGCTTTGTGAACCTCGAAGTGCAGATTTCGTGGCAGGCACAGCGCATGGTGAACCTCGAAGTGCAGATTTCGTGGCAGGTGCAGTACTTTGTGCTCTCAGATGCTCACTCTCTCCCTCTCACTATCCTACTTTCACTCACGCTCACACTCGCTCACACTCCCACTCTCACTCTCACTCACACTCGCACTCACTCTCCCGCTCTCACTCGCGCTCGTACTCACACTCACTCACTCTGACTCGCACTCACACTCACACGCGCACTCACTCACCCACACTCACTCTCACACTCACTCTCACTCACACGCACGCTCACTCACCCACACTCACTCTCACACTCACTGTCGTCACTGGTGGTTGCAGGCGGAAACGGGTGCCTGGGAGGTTCATCATCATCTTCTTCCTGCAAGGGCCCATCGGGTTCCAGTGTGTTGTTCATCTTCTTCTACATCATCCAGCTGTCGTTCACCCGTCTCAAGTCGTAGAATCGTGTGACTCCACGAGATTTCAGCTGTCTCACTTTGTTGAGGGCTGACTGCAGGTCTTCCAGCACATGCTGAGGGCCCAGGATGTCGGCACGGACATGGTGCGGTGCAGCACGCTCACTCACACTCACACTCACTCACCCTCACCCACACTGCCTCGCACCCTCACTCACACTCACTCACACTCACTCACACTCACACTCACTCACTCTCACTCTCACTCTCACTCTCACTCTCACTCTCACTCTCACTCCCACTCTCACTCTCACTCTCACTCTCACTCTCACTCTCACACTCACTCTCACTCTCACTCTCACACTCACTCTCACTCTCACTCTCACTCTCACTCTCACCCTCACTCTCACTCTCACTCTCACTCTCACACTCACACTCACACTCACTCTCCCACTCTCACCCACACACACACTCCCTCTCACCCACACTCACTCACACCCACCTTCACTTCATCACCACCATCACCTCTCTGGACCCCAATGCGTCTAGATCTCTAGACTTTCTGCTTACAGACCTCACACGCACTGTTTGGGGTCTCTTGCCGGGATATTTTTTTTGCAGGAATCTTGGGTTGTTTGATGGATCCACAGCTACTTGGTCACATCTCGGAATGAGAGACTCCCGCCTCACACAAGGCCACTAGGGAAACTTCCAGTTTTCTTGATCAAGAGGATCGCAAGACCGCCGCGTGGGCTGTCGCTGAAAGAACACCGCTGCTGTTCAATTCATGGCCATGCTCGACCGACACCCTCCCGGGCCAGTGTCATCAAACCCAAAAAGGCGGTCCCACCACGGCACTTCTTGGTGGCTGGTCAGGGTTGTGGGAAGCACCTCGCGGACAAAGATACCTGGTGCTAGACTTGGTTTGCATCGTTCGTGCACAACAAGGCCGGCGTCGATTGCTGTCAGCTGAAGAGCAGCTCAGTGCACAGGCCAATGGCTTAGCAAAGGTATTTCAGATTCCATCATCTTCACTCAAACCCTAGGAACAAGCAACCTCTCCCTGAGGCCTTACAACTCACTTTCCACGTTTGAAGAGCAGGGGATTTGTTTCGATATGTTTGGTTCTTCATCTAAGTCTGAGTCTATTTACCCAACCACCACAACCAACCGACGACAGCTTCTTTTGGGCCCTCTTTTAGCCGCAGTCCTTTTTCATTCCTGATTCTCAGCAAGGCTCACGAACTGCCCGAAAGATCGGGAGGACAAACATCAACTCAACTGAAGCCAGCTGTCTCATGTGCCCATCATGGCAGAGACGACTGAGAAGACCAAGAAGCTGGAGAAGACCAAGGCAATGGGGCAACGGGACCGTCGGCCGCTGTTCTTTTTTGGGACATCCGCATCATTTCAGTCTATGGAGAGTCCATGGGAAGGGAGGAACTCTGAAGATTGCTGTTCTTTGGGGTGAGAGGTTCCTTCGGATGTGAAGCAGAAAACCAACCTTGTGAGGAAGGTTCATCAGAGGAGTTTATTTTTCTTTTTCTCTTTCTCTTTCTTTTTATTATTCTTCTTCTTCTTCCCTCCTGCTCTGCTGTTTCTTCAGGGTTCCCACGGTTTTACGAACCCTTATGGTCTACTTTTGAACCCAGCAAGAATTTACAGGCATCTGCCAACCCTGTTGTAAATTTGGTTGGATTGGGACAGACCGAAGCAATGTGCAGGTACCAGGGAGAAAGAAGCTTTCACTCAGAATGGCGTCCCATAGGTGTCTGCAGGGGCCTCATACACTGCTAATGAGACATGATGATTGTGCTTGTGGAGAAAGCAGCGTGGGACCGTAGGGACAGTGATGAGACATGCACCTTCGTTGCTTCGCTGCGGGCTCTTGACTCTTGCGAACGCCAGCTGTCGCTACATGTGCGATTCTTCACTACTCAGTAAAGACATGTCAAGATAATGCCTATGTCTATGCCTATGCCTTTGCCTGTCTACTGGGTGTTCCTTTCGAAGATGATGCAGCTGCTCTAACATGCTGGGATTTGGCAGCTCATGCCGGACCGTTTTTGGGCGACCCGTCGAGGGGTCTGTCCCCGTCGAGGGGTCTGTCCGCTTTGGAGACTCAACAAGCTTCAGGAAGTGAGTTTTCAGAGCTTCAAGAGTCTCCAGGTGATCGGAAAACCTGCCGTTGCAACCGAACCGGGCAAATCCATGGGTCACGACTTGGGGGATTCACACGCCACAGTGACGCTGTCAAATCATATACTGCATATATATATATATATACACACACACACTCTCTCCCTTGGAATATATATATATACATATATTATCGTTTCAGGGTGGGGGTCGAGGGGGGTCTTGGAATGAAGTGAACAACTACCTGTTTGGTCTTCGGATTGACACTGGCCATCCGAGTCTTCTGGGGGAAACCTGCCATCCACAGCCATTGGGCCCAGGGAGTGTACAGGGAGCGTACACCGAACACGCTGGGGCGTCGCGTTGACTCCATGTCGTTGGGGTAGAACAACTCCATGTCGTTGGTAGCCCTATTGTTCGACTAATAGCACTCCTGACTCCTGGCCTGAGAACCCTGGCTTCTCCCCGCTTCGCAGGTCTTGAAGCCGCTGGAAGAGGCGCCCCAACCCGGTCTGCCGACCCTTCGTCGACCGAAGTCTCGAGCGCCGGGCCGCCGTGAAGCCCGTCCGAGCGCTCCGTTCCGCTGCGATGCCAGGAGCCCCGAACGTAGTTAGCGGTCCGAACGCTCCGTTCGTAGTAGCCTAGTAGCACTGGCCTCCAAGGTTTCTTTTGAACATCCGGTGCAAGCTTCTGAAGGACTAGTCTTGTCTAGACTGATCGATTACGATTACTGATGCGACGACAAAAACGCTCTGTCTATGAGCTTCTGAATCGAAAGAACAACAGTACCAAACCCCCAAAAAGCTCCGTTTCTCCTTTAACGCTTTGTCATGGACCTGGGTGCTTCCAGGTCATTGACCTCGGCACCGAGGAGGCGTGGCGGGGGTGGATTGATGTTGACGCCTCCACTCCGTTTGGTGTGTCAACATGGCGTTTGGTTCATGTTGGTTCCGTATATTTGGGGCTTGAAGCCGAAGCCGTTCGTTTTTTTTTTCGGGGTTGTTGACGATGTGGTTCCATGTTTGAGAGTGATCCCAAAATGGAGTGACAAGTGAACAGCACCCTCATGTGCTTTCTTAGAACACCGTTTGTTCATCATGGAGCTGTGTGGGACTCTGCAATCCGGTCATTTCGGAGTAGGGAAAGTGGAGAACCAACCGCCCTGGTTGAGAGTGTCAAGATCCAAGCCATGCCACAATCCTCATTCTGTGGTTTTCTAATGTGTAAGTCGGGGACTGCTGGCTCACCTGGCTCACCTGGCTCACCTTGGACATTCCTATGTTTGAGGCTTTCACCTATGTCTGAGGACCATCTCAATTGGACCATTTTGGACTCCATCTGAACTCCGCGCACCCGAACGTCCGCCTCCCTCGTCGCAGGTACCTCTCCACAGCGCCCAGGAACGCTTGGAACTCCGCAGGACGGACGACAAGTCGGATGGGTTCCTTCCGCGGGTCAGAGTGGTTCTGCCTTTTCAACCAAGAGAAACGGGATGGTGGTCATCTGAATCGTACATAGCCCTGGGAAGCGGTTCAAAGACTCAGGGTTGATCACAATCCTGGTTTTACTTAGGGTGATCTTTCTATTTTTTGTTTTAGGTAAATCTCCTTTCCTGGGATTGTTCTTTAAGATCTTTGTGGCACCCTGATGTTGAGACAAATGAGCGCAGGGATTTGCTTCCACTAGCCCAGCAATCGCAGGAGTGATCGAGGTAAAGGCGGGAAGAGCAAAGGAAAAGGCAAAGGCCGTGGCCGTGGAAAAGGAGTGACTTGGCAAGGGAACAAGGGTCGCAGAAGTATCAAGTGTTCTTTGATATCTTCTGCCCAGCAATGATTACAGTCCACAAGGTCCCGTAGACACGGAAACACTGTTGGTGGAAACACGACTTGAGAAGAACACTTCTAGTCACTCTTGTCTTGATGGGCGACGACCCAATAGATATATACCCCTTTTCAGGAAGACCTTGCATTAGGCTTGGTGAAGTACGGAGCAACTGGACCTTCAAGTGGGCGAGAGATCACAAAAAATATTCACAGCGCTTCGCGCTCGAAGCCGGGCGCACGGAGTGTGTGCGTCTGTCTCGGTCTGTCTGTCTCGGTCTGTCAGTCTGTCTGTCTTGGTCGGGCAGGGCACATGGACAAACACTCCAAGGATGTCAATAATGCAAACTTCACTGGACTGCATAGCTGGCATCGTAAGCGTTTACCTTCGAAGCCACACCATTTTTTTAAAACAACATCAAAAACCATCACAAGCACACCATTTTCACAGCATGAGAGGCCCCCCCAAGCTAAAGCTTCTTGAGCGGATTGATCCAGCAGCTATCTTGCGGCTTGTGCGAGCCTCCACAACGCCTCCGCACGTTCGGTGCGGGCGGACTTTGCCAAGCTGATCTTGAGTCACAGATCAGATGAGGCAAAAAAGTCCATGATCCCAAAAGTCTCCAAACCATGTGGGAAACAACGCGGGTAAAGAAAAGCAAACATCGAACTTTTTTAAAGCTGAACTTGAAAGGATTACGGAGTTCCCATTTCTGGTTTCTTTTTGATATAAGTAACTTGAACACGGCCGTAGACACAGGTAGGGGATAGTGGGACAGCCTATCCACACCCAGCGTCTCAGCACCTTTTAATCGGGCATCAACCGGAGTTGCAGGATGCGAAAAGTGGTGTTTATTGATCTAGACCTGGGCTAGGCGACAACACCCCAAACCAACCCCAGCTCCTGTGAGATTCAGACCTTACCTTAAAGCGGGTGGGAACTGCAAGTCGACTCGGAGCTCTCGCTGGGTATGGTCTCCTGTCAGTCCGTTGAAGAGGCCCGTGAAATGTGGCCCATTGGTCCCGTATTGGTCCCTGGGAGCTGGCGCTAATGCCAGTGCCTAGCCTTTTGCGAGATTTGAGACTTTTGCTTGTTACGATGACCATTCCGCTTGGCGGACTCCTTGTGGCCGGAACCGTTCTCATGATTTCTCATGCACTCTTTTTCCATCTTTATTCCGATTGATTCTGATCCATTTGCCTCCCCCATTCAAAAACGGCCTCACTTCCCACGCTTCAACCCCGTTTTGAACAACAACCCGGAACGGTCCCCGGCGCCTGGCGCTTGGCGCCTAGGGCGCGAAGGGCGCGAAGGGCCCGGAGCTCGTGCGAGATCGTGGGTTACAGGAGCGAATCAACAAGCCTTTCAGCTGACTGGAGCGAGCTGTGAGGGGGTGGAGTCATGCTGTGTCTGGACGGATCGGGTGAAACCGAACTATGCCGGGGACCAGACAGAACGCCGGGTGAAACCGATGAAGAAAAGGGGGGGCTAGCAATGAGTTGGTCTCCTCACGACCTATAAGGAGGGATGTGGTTTTCTTGAAAATCATCCATGGATTGGTTTTCAGCCTAGTTTTTGAGCCTTTTGGAACTCGAGGTGACGACTAAATCTGCACTTGTTTTCAAGAACGCCGAGATCTTGAAACATCACTTGGGACTTTGCCAAGAATTCTGGAGGGGGCATACAACCTCGTTTGGCATCACCCATCATCCGTGGCAACATCGACGATACATGCTTATATTTATTACCCGCAAAAGCAGTCTGATCACCATGGTTGAATGGATCATTTGTATTCATTTGTGCGAACTCGTCTGGATCCAGACTGGATCACTGGATCCTCACCATCAATACCATTCAATTTGAGATAGAGCTTCTAACTTAGCCTCTTGCATCGACCAAATGTGCTCGAAGCCGGGAGAGGGGCTGACCGTGCTTTCGTTTTTGGCGGGTCAGTCGGTCAAAAACTTTGTCTCTGGAGCAATGTTTTCTGTGATTGGCTAGGTGTGAAAGGTACCTGGACCATCCTGTTTGGGTGTCCAACGGACCTCTCTAAGTAGTGTGGGGTAGTCCAGCGAGGTGACCATCCTCAGGATGGTCCTGGTATGTCACCGGTGGGCCATGGGGGTTTCCACGGCCCGAGGTACACGAGGCCTGGGGCTTCGTGGGAGGAGTTGAAGCCCCAAAGTGACAAGAAGCTCAGGGGCCAGGCATGGCTCCGCGTCAGCCGCGTTGGGAAGAGCTGAACATGGAACGGGTTTGGTGAGCTGTGCGGCATACGGCCGTTGGGCATAGGGCTGGACGGGAATGGTAATATAAAAACGGACTCAGGACATTTCTGGGTCATAAGTAGTAATTAGTAAAGTGCCTGGCATGTCAGGTATGACTCGGGTGGGGTAGGATGGACAGGACTGTTCATGGACTGTAGTGCCGGGAAGTGAGTTTGTGGAAGTTAGTGACAGTTGTAGGGTTTTCTCATCTGGACATCCCCGGTGTTTGTGGACGTGTGCTGGTCTTGGAGCGTTACTTTGCCACACTCCAATATTTCACCGACTGGCTGACTGGCCACGCAGCAAGATTCTCAGCTGGCAGCTGAGCTGTTTCTCAGAGTTTTTCCATGAGAAACAACTGAGCTGTTTCTCAGATCTCACAGTTTTTTCTCTTCAACTTGAGCTGTTTCTTCTGTATTACGCCTGGAACACCAGTCCGGGCGGGCTTGGTCACCACGACCGAGTCTCGAAGACCGCCTCAGTTGAAACAACTGCAGCGCGCAGACCGGGACGCGGCGTTCCTCTTGGCCAAGGCGGAGGTCGGGTGGAAGGGGGGGATCAATGTGATCATGGTGCGGCTGTGGAAAGGGAGAGGGATGGACTTGGGTGCAATCATGCATGAGTTGGTGCAGCATTTTTCAGCCTCCCATGCTGTTCAGAGATGTAAACTGTAGTGCACAGCCAGGTTGATTTGCACAGGCCTTTGAAGAGATGTGAGTTTGCCTCAAACCAAGAGAAATTGGCTTGACTAGCTGTGTCCTTCGGCTGTTGTTTCCATGGCGCACAGGTGCTTCAAACAGCCGAGCCTGGTTTTATTGAGCAGGAGGAGGATAATGCCATACTGCCACGTGGCACCTGAGGATCTGGAGCTCTTGGGCATTTTCTCTCGTTTGGCTAAGGGTCATGACCCATACTCTTTGTTGCACACCTCGAAAGTGCATGAGAATGGTCGTTCCATACTTCTTGTTGGGAGGTGTCCGCGCTTCTTTTCAGGGTCTTTTTTGGCGTCTTGACCGGACGAGCCTGTTCTTTTTGTCAGCTTGTTTCGGATCTCCTAAGAGGCACCTGGAGGAATGACAAGATCACGGATCTGAGGAAACTCTCATGTCTCACCACCGACAACTTCCATGGATGATTCCGGAAGATGGAAGTTGGAGCGCAACAAAAACGAAGGTTCGGCTCTTTTTCAACTTGAAGACAGGTTTTAGGTCATGTCTGGGTGAACATCTCCTGCCTCTCTCTGGTGATCCTTGCTACAAAAACCCAGGCTCTGCCACTGAGCCTGGTTTCACACCACGCGCTTCTCATCTCCGTGGCCGCGGAAGTGGTTCGGGACGACCGGGTGTGGCGAAAACAGAGCGATCGTACGTATAGTTTCTTTTGAATTCTGGTTTATAGTAGCGAACCTTGTTCCTAGTAGTACGGCCAGGAGCCCCTAGTAGTTAGCGTCCGATCGCTCCGTTCGTAGCGATGCCCTTTGCTCCTAGTAGCTTCTTGCTCGGCCGGGTTCTTCCTTGGTTGCACCAAGCTGAAGCTGCTCGATGGGCCCAGGCTCACGCAGCAGGAGATCATTGACTCCGTGCTTCGGCAGGGGTGATGCTTGAATGGGGGATCAGGAAGCTGCAAAACGTGGGATTCTGGTGGAGAACCACCGTCCAAATCGGTAAAACAAGCCGTGGGTGTGTGTTTCACCAGGGGGGGTTGTTCCACTTCGGTGTTCGGAGGGCGTGACGGCCCCATTTTTCTCTCAAAAGGCATTCCTTGAAGAATCTGGAGAAGGGACATCAGAGCCCCACCTATCACCACCTCTCCGCCAATTTGTATCGGATCATATCAGATCCATTTTGGGTGTGAAATTAGAAGGAAGCCTGGAGGGCTGCAGCTTCCCTCAGCGGCCTCGATGGTCTCAACATGGTCTCGGTCTCAACAGATTTGTTTCGACCCGATGTCCCAAGCTGTCCCGATGTCCCTCCCAGGCTGGTGTGGGAGTTGCTCGGAAGCATTTCGACTTCGAGTTGCCTTATGGCCCCTACAATTGAGCACCTGGCATGTTTGCTTTTGGACACACTGCAAAGTGACTAGCTGGTAGCTCCTGCGTGTCGAAACTGCATGTGCACATGCGCAAGGGTTTCCTGACTTGAGACGAAAAGGAATCCAAAATAAGTCCCAAAATAGTAGCGATGCCCTTGTTCATAGTATCTTCTTGCTCCTAGTAGCGATGCCCTTGTTCCTAGTAGCTTCTTGTTGCTAGTAGTTGGCTTCATTGCTCTCAGCAGCCCTACGTCTAGTTTCACTCCAGGCAGCCCCGCACGGAATGGGCAACACTTGTTGGCCGGTGGGCGCAAGGGACACGTGGTGGGGGCCCTCAGGAGGAATCTGGTAGGGATCTGGAGCCCACGGGGCACGCTGAAAAGGCAGTTTCTTGTTTGATTTCTTTTTTGTGTGCTACTAGCAGCGGCGTCTGTCACGGATGTAGGTTTTCTTTTGGGGCGCTCCTGGCACTTCATGCACTTGCCCCGCTGCCACACGAAGACCCACTCAGAGCCGCCTCCATGGCCCAAGAGCAACCGCTCCTTGGGGCTCAGGGCCCATCCGGCTTGTTGATCACCCATCCTGCACCTGCACTCGAATCGGGGATCTTCCTCAGGCCTTCCTCCATTTGGCCCGGGCACCTGGGAAAGACGCGGCCGCCCGAATTGGTTTCAGGCCTCCGAAGAGATCGAAGACATAGACCAGTGGCATCCAATGGCCGTGTCTCCACTTGCTGAGTCAGTTCATGGTAGAGGTTTTGAGGAAGAGGGGAGGAAGACACTCCGACAGACCTGAGGACTCCACACTGAAATTCGCTCGAGTGGACAAAACATGTGCTGATCTTGAAAGGATGCTTTGTTGTTGTCGATGGTGGATGGATGATGAATAACCTCCTCCCCGATTTGGATTGTAACACCCTCTTCATATCGGGAGTTTCAGGTAGATCAACAGTCTACACTATATTAACCATGTGCTGCTAGCGCACACGCCAGAGACCGGATACGTGTTCCTTCGCCAGCTGCTCTACATACCTCTACATGACATAATATCCATGGCCAATTGAACCCAAGAAATCATTGCTCGGGCACATCATGTCCGTGGTACATGGAGTGGTCATTTTGCCCCCTTGAAGACTACAAACTGCCCTCCCCGAGAAAGTGCCAGCGGCCAGCGGCCAGTGACCATTCTGAACACCGCCTGAACGTTTTTGGCAATCAGAAAAGCCTTTCAGCAGCCAGGAAGGCCATGGCCGTTCTTACTCATCGCGAGGCTTTGTGAACTGGTCGTTCTCCAAGTGTTGCATTTGGCATGGAAGATGAGTTTGGACCAGGCCTGTGAGGCAAAAAGCAATCAAAAGACAAACAATATATAGTGGCTTGAAACATTTTCCCCGGCAACGGCGGAATAGCGGAACCCACCCCCTTCACAGCTCACCTGCAAGCCACTTCACCTCACGCCTTTGTGGCCTGTGCCATGGGCAAAGTGTGGTGAAGACGGGCGCGCGGTGCTGGCCCCTTTTTTGGTGCGCCTTGCTGGGAAGGGAGGGAGGATGGCGATAAAATAATGCTGGGATGCTTGCGTGGATAGCATTGGTCATTATTGGCTCATTGACTCATTGCTGTATGATGGTGCATATATAAATATATATATATATATATTATGTATATCATTCTTCGTTGGCTTCTAGTGGGTTCATAGTGGGTGACCCTTTATGCCATCGTGATGACGCTGGCCACCGAAGTTGCCCATGTACTATCCACGTTCCTCTGTAGAACGATGCGGGTAGGTTGGAGGCCATCGCTAGTAGGTTGGACTCCATGGGCCTTTCCTCCAGACCCGGAGCTCGCCACGACTGTCGCCCAGGTCGCCGCCGTCCGGTGCGCGACGTGAGCTGGGCGGCAAGCCATGTCCACGGGAAATCCCTATGGACTCTCCGAGATCTCCCACTATGGCACCACGGCCGTGAACGAAGACGTCGTACGCGTCTTCTTGAGACGCCGAGGGGGGCGACTCCGTGAGGATGAGAACCGGGTGGTTTTTGGGGGAGTCGGCCACCGGTCTGGGCCACAAAGTGGGGCCACCATGTACCGAAATTGGTGTGGTGGCCGTACGAGACAAAAGGGGGTCGCCATCGTTCGTCGCCTGTGAAGAGACCGAGAATTGCTGAACTCAGAATAGCTGCACATAGCTCATACGCTTCCGACAGGCTGCCACGTGTTCAACAGAATATTTTTCTGGACTATGAAGATCTATTCGGAATGGTTTCTCAGGTCCCGCCAGACCGTCTCTTTTGTGGGCTGAACATTGATTGGAACATGTGCGACTCTCTTGTTTTGTGGACCTGCTGTGTACGACCCGGGTTTTTCGGGGAACCGCCTCGATGCGATGCGAGGCTCCATGCGGAATGTGGGTGGAAAGGCTGGAGGCTTCATCAACAAGAAGTTCTTCCATCCCTCCTCCCTTCGCAATCAGGAGAGGGTGATGGCATCGCAGAACATCTTTTGATGGATATTCTATGGACATAATGCTATACACAGGTATAAGGTAGTGATTTTCGGTGACCTCGAACGTCAGAGTCCGATGGTCCGATGGCCCGACTCAAACATGGTCGTCCGACGTGGACCACCCAAGAAAGGGTTTCCACCGTCCAATTCACTTCGCTGACTTCGCGGGAGTGCCCAAATCTAGGCTGAAAGGACTTCTGCGGAGAAACGGTACCACCACACGAATTCTGGGGGATTGGTACCACGCAGCTCTTGGTCCACGCGAACTCACCGACTTCGCCATGTCACAGGGGTGGATTGTGGAAGAAGAAGGTGCCGACGCTAGAAATGTTCACCCGTTTTCTTGGTGGAATCATGTGGAATTGCGACGAGAACATGGTTCCCACATCCCGCACTCAGAGAATATGATTGCCCCCTTTTGAACTTACTGTAGCACACATTCTAACCTGACATGTGTTGGAGGTGTATTTGGGAAATTCAGTTTAGGTCCTTGCAAAGAAGTGGACACATGTTTTCTATTCGCGTTTATCAACGTGGTCTTTCCCAGACATGTCATAGACTCACACCGGAAGAAAATAAGATAAAATAAGCTTATCTTGTAGAGAGTCGTCTTCAAGGGCTTCATGGTCCATGTCTTTATCAGTTTCGGACCTCGTTTCGGACCTTCAGAGGGGTTTCTTAGACGTTTTGAAAGGGCGAGCATGCTTAGGACATAGCTCTGAAAGCAGCGAAAGCTAATGTAACTGTTGATTAAGAAGAGGTTTCAAAATCAAAATAAAGGGGGTTATTAATCAACAGTCTACATCAATTAAGTGTGGCAGATGTCCCTTCGTCCCTTCAAAGTATGTTGATTTCTGGCAAAAGCCGGAAGAGAAAGAAGAACGGCGGAGCGAGATTTGAACGGCGGTTCAAGCAATTTCAAGCACCTGCCCATGGCCGTTTCTCATGGTTATTTCATTGGATGCAAAGAGGTGTACAACACAAGTTCCTCGCATGTTCCGGTTCCGCCCATTTTTACAAACACGGAGCCAACCAATTCACTCGATTTCATACGTTTTTGACGTGTGGCACTGAGCAAAAGGAGAAGCTTTGGAAAGCCATCACTGCAGACGCTGTTGAGAAGCGAAAGCAGGATGACCTCGAGAAGGCGGATGAAAACGATATGTTGGTACCCCAAGACTGCCAAGACTAGCGAATCCTCTATCCAACAATCATCAGAGTGGCCGCTGGATGCGCTTTTCAAGACGACTTTAGCCCTTTTTTTCAAGAGGGAGTGGACAAACTTCAAGATTGGTTGCATGGAGGGTTAGATATGGGTATAGTATAGTGGATCCATTTTGAATTTACGAATGGATCATGGGGTCCTCCACTGATTTCGACCTGCAGCTTGTCAACAATGGCACTCACCGGGTCAAAAAAGTCTTTCCAAAGGCCTGCAACTGGGAACATGGTCCGGGTCCACAGGATGTTTGACTCATGGCAGATGAGGCTCTTCCAGCAGATGAGGTCTCGTGTTGGCAACATGTCAGGGTCAGCGCAGGAAGACCTGCATCTCCCCCGTCAGATTTCATTTTGCGCCATGGAGAAGATCCCCTCCCAGCATTTCCTTTGCTGAGCCAGGATACAGGTGTTCATGTCAGGTGCAAAGACCACAACTGACATGTTGGATATGTTCCCAAAGACCTTCAGATCTCAGAACAGATCTAGAAGATCCTTGTGCATTGAACATTTGGCTCATACACCAGAGACCCTTTTCGTGCTATTTGGCATTTGGACCCACACACGCGCACAAACAGAACCAACCACACGCAAAGCCAACCACCTCTGCTACCTGCTTTTCAGCCCTCAAATGGGCCTTTCAGAGGCGCGTGAAGAGGAGAGGAAAGTGGATGCTTTGAGGAAGGAGATCACTGGACGAGACGAAATTGAGAGGAAGAAAGATGAACAAAACAGGAAGTATGGATATCACATGAGACATGTGTTTCATAAACGAAGAACCATTTGTTCAAGTGTTGTTGGAACTGACACAAACATTAAAGAAAACATATGTTTCATTTGTATTTACTTGTTTCATCGATTGGAAGAGGTCCCGAACTACGAAAAGACCTCTGAGATTTAGACTCGAGCTACGCTTGGCGCGTGTCTTTTTGCTTGGGGCGACGGTCTGCAGGGGTCCGAAGTGGGGTATTGGCAGTCAAGCAGCGCAGACCTAGATGGCCAGCACCTTTTTTATTCTCAAGGAAGATCAAATGGTATTACTTTTCCTGAAGTTGATTGGATGAGAACGGGAATTCCCAGCCGCAGAACTCTCGCAACTGCCTTTGGACATGTCTTTTTTCGCCAAGCGACTTCCCGTAGTGGGACACAGTCGGACACAGAGAGAGACAACTCGACACCTTCAGCTGGAACCCTTTCCTCCTCGCAGGAGATGTACTTGGCCGGGCAATCCAAAAGTGCCATGTGCTGTGTCGGCAGAAGTCGTTTTGAAGTTGGAGGAGGTTGGA